ACAGAGCGTCTTTGACATAATTTATTGGGACTTTCAATAATATTCTTGCCATATGATATATGTAAGTTTTTGATTTTTTTCTACTGATGACCATCATCACAAGCCAATCATTTTCGGTATATAAATCTCCGTTTTAATATAATTATTTTTGTAATCTTGTTTAGCGCCACCAAGAGTACTACATAAATGACGTCATATTCGCCATCTTGTACGAAATTTCTTCTCACAACCGCTCCTTTCCCCAAACGACACCCGTATGAAATAATTTTTGTCAGTGGGGTTGAACTGTTACTCCTATCAATTTCCTGTAAAAAAGGCTTACTCAAACACAAAAATGACGGCTGCAGACAAATCTTCTGCTAAAGAATACGATGGTTGGATTGAACAGTTGAATGAATGTAAACAATTACAAGAAAACCAAGTGAAACAGCTCTGCGAAAAGGTAAATTTGATTCTTCCATTGCCATTGGTTGTTCAGCGCTCTGTAACCATAGACTCACTTTTCTCATTACAGTAATCTTATTCTTACAATAGCCTACAGGAATTACTGCCTACAGTCTGTAGACCTACCTAGGCAGGTAGTGTATCCGTAGGCCTAGTGCTATGCCTAGTGTAACAACATCATTTCCCTACCTTCTAGGATATACTCTTAACTAATTCAATTTACATGGCTCCTCTTGTCTGAAGTGATTGGCAATGGAATGTCCTCCATGGCATGGGAAGAGAGACTTCACTTTTCACTTGTTTTTTTGTATCTTAAATTCCTGTTTTTTTCCTTAGTTAAATGCTCTAGGCTAGCTAGGCCAGGCCGCCTAGAGTTATGTGTCTTTTCAAGCCTGTTTTAGGGGCGATTTTTTTCGCTGTTGTTAGTGTAGGGCCTAGATTTGAAATTGAAAAAAAAGGAAGTGGATATATTTACGTAACTGTCAACAAATCAGTAAATTATATCTACATGAAATAAATAGCGCATGCGCAGTCAAAATTAGCGTCGGCCGAAGCTGCGTTGCCCAAGCTTACAACGGCACTGATTTCATAATTTTGTTTTTATTAAATTAAATTTAATTCCTACAACAGACATGCCAACCACTCCGATTTCGACGGAGTTACTTCGTTTATATTTAATATAAGCAAAACCCTGCACTCCAAATTTGGGTCGAAAATCTCCGCTTTTGACGCATTTTGGCCAGCTGTAATAAATCGCGCATTTCCGAATAAAAATGATAATCCTATGAATTAGATTTATAAGAACAAGACCACTTTAATTGTGCTTAAAAGTGCTCTGAACTGTATACGAGATAGTAATTTGCGCTCTAGGGTCTACTAATTACGAAAAGAAACAACAATTTCACTAATCGCTGTCAAAGTTGCACTCTGAACTGTATACGAAAAATTAATTCGCGCTCCACGGTCTACAGATTTTGAAATAACAAATTTCATTGGCCAAATTGATGTAATAAATAATTCTGGATTTATATAGCGCCTCACGTTGACACAACCTCGAGGCGCACTGCACTGATGTCAGAGTTGCACTGCACTCTAAACTGTATAGTGCTCCATGGTCTACTGATTTCTTAACAACAACTGTCTACCTAGGCAGTACTGAAAAACGAGTAGTAGTGTTGAGCTTCCTCCAATAAAGAAGCTAAAACACACTCAACAATGCAAGTTAATAACGGAAAGTATCCTGTCATTTTGAAATCCAAACTACTGTAGGTGATGCCTACAGTACGCTTTTTGTGATTGTTGTGGTGTTGATTTTCTGCCTAGGCTAGAGCCTTGCACGGCGGTATTGAATTGCTGTCAAAATAGTTACATTTTACAATCCGATCACATTGGTACCATGTCTTAGGAATACTCCTCACATTGCCAAAACACCCCTCAGAAGTTTTTCAGACTCTCTTGTTGGCCTTGTGGCATGTCTGCTACAATAGTATGTAGTTTAATCATTAAATAAATTATTAAATCATTGTGCTAACCTTTCAAATAAAAGTAATATTATCAGCTGGAAATATTTGTGTTCTTGTCATTTTACTTACATCATTTGTTGAATGAACACACTCGAAAAAGTACAATACTAGGCCTATGCCAAAAAATCATGAAGGTTCCCTGCTAAAACTAGCACTCAATTACCTCATAATCAAAGGTCTAAGTTATGTTGTATGGTAGTCATTCATTACAAAGTAACATTTTAATGTTTTCATTCAAACACATTTACCGACGTCACTAACAAAACCAACATTAACATTCTTTAGTCGGTTCGATTGTTAGGCCCCGATTGAGCGAGGAGAACATCTGAGAAAGACCACGTTTAGAGAGCATGTGATCCACAATCTACGAACTATGCTATGCAGCAAAAGTAAAGAATATGCGTGCAGGGATGTCACCATCTTCTTGAAGTACCGGTCGGCGATCATTCCGCGTTTTCCCGGGGGTGGAGTGCCACCCCCCTCCCCCCTGTTTTCCCGGGGGTGAGGGGTCGCCGTATTCGTGAAAGCTCTTAAAAAGCAAAAGGCCTAAGTAAGTCGAGCAGGCCTAGGCCCAAGGCTAGCTGACGCGATTTTTTTTGGCTAGGCCCAGCCTCAGGTAGGCCTAGGCCAGAATTTGAGGAATGCAACAAAACAGATGAAGATGAGACTTACTGTAGGCCTAATTAAATTCAATAGTTGACATGCTTTGTTTTTGATTAAAAAATAATAATGAACAAATTCTGGCGACAAAGCGTCGATCCGACTGTTCCCAGCCGCATTGTTTGTCGTAATTTCACATGTTTGACGATTACCACGATGAATGTGTACTGTATGTCACTGATTCATGTGCACTCATTTATTTATTTTTTGTCCATTACACACATTATATATCAATTATAATTAAAAGTGAAAAACTTAAAATAAAAAATGAAAAGAAAGTAAAGAAATAAAACATAAATCAGGTTTCGTAAATTTTTAATAATCTTCCTGCCCCGGACCATGATCTCATAATCAAACACTTGAATGG